TGACCTTTTAACGGTTGACCTTGAAGAGGTTGAGATTGTAGTGATCTGGGATGCATCCTTTTGGGAGCCCGTTCCCCAAAGTAGTGGTTTTCAGGAAAAGTGGTCTGAATAGAACTTCCTCCTTATCAATGGAATACAAAGAAATGAGGATGATTTGATTCTGCATACATTTTTATGGTGGGTTCTAGCTGTAAAAGTCTGAACCAGTGAAACTAAGAAACTAACAAATGTAGTTTGTCTGAATATTTGCCATGGAAATAGTGACAGAGTAGTGACAGGCTTGTGATGTTCTGTGTGAAAAGGTCTAAAGGTTTAAAAATAATTCATTGCACACAAGTCTGCATAAAATGCTTCAAACTCTGTCATGATTAAAAAGTAAGGATTGAGCAGCTACAAAGGATAGGAAGTTGTGGAGAGCCATGATCGCCCACGTCTAAAATACCTAAAAGAAGTAATTTTTATGATATTGATTTTGCCACAGATATTCCATTATTCAAATATGGTGTCTGCAGATTGAATTCAAATTCAGGGACAGTTCTGTGGAAGTTGGCTTGCCTGCTCAGATTTTTATTGTTTACATAATTCCCAACAGATAACACTTCCTACCCAGTCACATATACATTTTTGTATTCAAGCTGAACAGATTGGCAGCATTCATTCCGATGACTGACAGGTAGATCTCTATTTCGGCAAAGGCATCATTTCCAATTCTGCTGTCTAATATCTTTGCTTTAATATAGTTTGTTCCGACAAAGTTATTCCAAACTACTCATGAATATTTTATGCTCTTTCTTTATTGTTTATTCAAGCTGCCATTATAACGATTATTATTACTAGTTGAAGTACCTACTGCTGCTGACCAAATGTCAAGATTTTGGTCAAAGTCAGTTATATGAAAAATAAAAAAAAATCTTGAAAATTAGTCTTTCGTAACTTCTGATATCAAAAGTGGAACAAATGGAATACTGGCACTATTTAAATATAGTGGGCCACTCATAAAAAAAAGGGAATATTTTTTGGGAAATAGTTTTGTAGAATAGAGTTCTTCAGATCTTCCTTCGGGTACATCACTTGTCAGAATAAAAAAAAATATTGATTTGTTATTGATTTAGGAGGTGGGAGGTTCTGTTTATAATATCTGTACAGTGTCAAATCGATCTCTGACTTTTACAGAATTATTGGCCTCAGGCTAAGTCACTTAGCTGTTATTTACAAATGTCAAGTTTGAAAATGTGCGAGCATCATTGATATCTGTACATTTTAAAAAAATTTTCTGATTTTTTTTTAACCTTTTTAAACATGTTTTAATATTTTTTAATAGTTTTAAGAACCTTTTTTTCCATATAAGATTTTTTTAGAAGTAAATGTGCAATCATTTAAAGATCATTATTATTTATCTTAAATGAAGAATAAATGGAAACATAATTTTATTAAATTATGGAAATTTTTGTTCTTTAATTAAAAATGGGCATACAGTTAACTATAAAATTATTCATAGTTATTATTAGCCTTTGCAGACTTTTTTTGAGGGAGGTGTTACAATAAGATTTCTTTTAAATAACGAAATAACAAATACAGTCAATGACAAAATTATTCGGGCATCCATCAATTTTTAATACTTTCATCCATTTCTCAGAATCTAATGTCCGTATGATACCAGATTTTTTATATGTTAATAAGCATGAAAAAAGGAATATAAAACTCAATTTTCAGAACAATAAGTTAAATATTACAAATTTGACAGGTGAATTATTCAAAATAGGAAAAGACAAAATTATTCATATAGTAGAAAATATCATTTTGAATTGATTGATTTGTGCAATTATAAATAATTTACATAATTATTTTATCGGTGAAGCCGTGTAGACTATTTATTCAGTAGAATATTTGTGATATTTTCAGCAAAGAACATCATGTGGTGCATAAAGTGTCACCATTGTTTTCCTTACATTAACAACATGATGGGGAAGACAAAGGAGCTTAGTGTTGACCTGAGACAGTGGATTATTAATTTCCACAAGTCAGGAAATACTTACAACACTATTTCAAACCGGTTAGCTATCCCTAGATCTTTGGTACACTCCATTGTAAAGAATTTTAAACAGTTTGGCATGGCAGAGAATTTGCCTGGGCATGGAAGAAAACCCAAATTGTCACCAAGGACTGCATGAAACCTGTGTCATAAGGTTAATATAAACCCAAGAGTTGTTTTGAAAGTCATCACTAAAAGTTTGGATACAATTGGTATCAGTGTAAGTACTCACACAATAAAACATTGTTTAAATAAAAATGGGTTGTATGGAAACCAAACTTGACGAACCCCACTTCACAAACCATGTCACATGGTTGCTCAGTTTAATTCTGCTTGGACAAAGACAGTTGCTTTTGGGAACTATGGAGCTATTTGGACATAATGATGTACAGATGATTTGACACAAGAAAGGTCAGACTTTCCTCTCAAAGAACATAGCAACAACATTAAAATATGAAGGCAGCTCAATGATGTTTTGGGGTTGTTTTTAGCTCAAGGGAGACTGGACAATTAATAGCAATGAAAGGAATAATGAAATTTGCAGACTATATCAAAATTCTGGATGAAAATCTGCAGCTATCAGCACTAAAATCTTCATCTAGGTCAGCAATTTACTTTCCATCAAGGTAATGATCCCAAACATATATCTAAATCAGATGCTTGGGTTTAGAAAAAGAAGATTACAGTTCTGTCATGGCCTTCAATGAGTCCTGATTTGAATCCTATTGAAAATCTATGGCAAGAATTGGAAGTTCAAATAAATCGTTGATCACCAAAACACTTTGAGGAATTAGAATGTGTAACCATTGAAGAATGAAAGAAAATCCCAGAAAAGACTTGTTCAAATCTCATCAAAAGCTTTAGAAAATGATTGCAGGAAGTTATAAAGATGAGAGGCCATGCTATCAACTATTAATATTGTGAAAATTGTTCAATTTTTTCTATTTTTCATACTGGCAGCATATCAACCAGTATGGTTTATTTGATGCAAATGTAAATAATAATGAAAAAAAAATAAAATAGAAGCTTGATTAAAGCCTTCTGTCAACCTCTCACTGGTGGGATGTGACAAGATTGTCTCTGCTCTATTGTAACTTTCACGGAAAGTGCTCAGACGAACTACATTCCTTGGTTCTACCAGTTCAAACCTTCATGGTATGGACCCACCATGCCACTTACATTGTAGCAAACCACTCACATTCCCTCCATATTCCTTCAGTGAGCAATAAGTTCCACTTGAACATCTTCTTCCCACAAACCACTGATCTGCGAAACTGACTTCCAAGAGGATATTTTCCCCCAACTCTACAATCTAAACTTGTTTGGGTCTTGGGTTAACCATTACCTTCCATCCCTATCTGTAAAAAAAAACTGTCTCCTAATGTAACCCTCTGCTTTGAGTGGCTCCCCAGCCTTGTATAGGGTGAACCCTTACTGTTTTTTTGTTTTTTTTAAATAACAGTAGAATTGATCGGACTCTTTTCCTCATCTTTATTGCCATATTCACAACTTTTTAGTCTTCAGGTGACTGGAATTTCAAACTGAACCCTTTATTTTGTTCACTAGGGGTAGGTTGTTATAGTTCCACGTGCCATGCCTCTTCCAGGTGTCTCAGTTATTTATCCCAGTGAATTAAGATGTTGGTTAGATCCAGTGACTAGTTCCAAAGAGTTGTGAGTTCAATACCAGGCAACCGCAGTAGTGAACCAAAAAACTTAGACAGTTGAGTTAAAGGAAAATAAATGAGACATCTGGAAGAGGCATTGCACATGGAACTAGAACAATCTACCCCGGTGGATGAAATAAAGGGTTCAGTTTGAAATTCCAATCACCTGAAGAAGGTTGGACTTCCAACGAATGAAACGTTGTGAATATGGCAGTAGAATTGATTCCATCGTAATTGCAAAAGTGTTTGGGTTCTGTAAGGATACTGAGGAAGGTGCTTCAGGTTTGCTGTCACTCAATCTCTATCAATAACCACAAGACAGCTAGAGTGAATATACAGAAATATAAAATATAAATTGTAAGAAAAAGTAAGAATGTGAAAAAATGAAATATTATTGGTTATTTTTGTTTAGCGGCATATCAACCAGTATGGGTTTTTGATGCAAATGTAAATAATAATGAAAAAAAAAAAAATAGAAAATTGACTGAAGCATCTTGCCAGTCTCTCACAGAGGGGATGTGGCAAGCTTCTCTCAACTCTATTTTCACTTTCACAGAAAGTGCTCAGACAAACTACATTCCTTGGTTTTACCAGTTCAAGCATTCATGGCAAGGACACCACCATATCACTTACAGCAAACCACTCACCCACTCCATATTCCATCGGTGAGCAATAAGTTCCACTTGAACATCTTCCCACAAACCAATGCTCTGTGAAACTGACTCCCTGTTCAGATCTTGGGTTATCAATTACTTTCCACCCCTATCTATAAAAAAAAACTGCCTCGTAATGTAATCCTCTATGTTGTACAGGGTGAACCTTACTGTTAACAAAAAAAAAAAGAAAGTAGAATTGATGCTGTCATGATTGCAAAAATGTTTGGTTTCTGTAAGGATACTGAGGAAGGTGCTTCAGGTTTGCTGTCACTCAATCTCTATCAATAACCACAAGACAGCTGGAGTGAATGTACAGATGAATAAGATATAAATTTTAAGAAAAAAATAATAATAAGAAGAAGACAATTTTTTCCTTTGAAAAAAATGTAGAAAAATACTTCAGAAGAATACACAACAGATGTTTGATTAAATTAATTTTGTCTTATAACTATTATTTTCCCAAACCTTTTTTTTTTTTTTTTTTTTTTTTTAAATATTTGAGTGAAAACACATGCTCTATATTTCTAAAACATTTGCTGGGAGGCAGTTACTTTGTTTTTATCATTTTCTGTCCATTTCCTGAGATGAAATTTCGGTATTCATGACCAATTCATTATAGAAAAAAAAATTCAGGCATTTGTCAAATATGCATTGTGTGATCACATTTTTTTTATTCTTGGGTAAAAATCTTGTGCGGATTATTTTTTTTTTTTATAAAGATCTTTCATTTCTTATTGAGGTTCGTTGTTTCCTAAAAAAAAAAATGATAAATTTGATTTTCTGATAAAACTGTTTTGAAAAATTTCTATATTTTCTTGTTTCCTTTTTTTTACTCCTTTTTTTTTTCTTTTGAGCTGCTTTTTTTTTTTCATTCTCATCTCTTCATTGCCTTTCTTTCTTCATTGTCTTTCTTTTTTTTTCTTTTTCCTTCTTTTTCCTTCTTTTTCTTTCTTTTTCTTTTCCTTTTTCATGCATTTCTATTATCTTTCTTTATTTTTCATTTTTTTCCTTTTTCATTCTTTTTCTTTCTTTTTCTTTTCCTTTTTTCATTCGTTTCCATTCTTTTTCATTCTTTTTCTGTTTCTTTTCCCTTTTTCTTTTCATTCATTTCCATTCTCTTTCTTTTATTTCCATTCTTCTCCTTTTTCATTCTTTTTCTGTTTCTTTTTCCCTCTTCTTTTCCGTTTTCATTCATTTCCATTCTCTTTCTTTTTCATTCTTTTTTCTTTTCTTTCTTTCTTTCTTTCTTTCTTTCTTTCTTTCTTTCTTTCAGTATTGACTAAGTTTTGAGCGGCCCTACACAGCACAATTATTTTGCAGAATACCCAGTGAAGATCAAATTCAATACAGGCTGAACAAGACCATAATTTGGATGTACAAATAGCATAAATGTTGTCAGCATGGAAAGTGGAACTCACAAGCTGAGTTCAAATTCCAGCCTTTTGCTTCCACTCTAATACTCTTTGGAAAGGCATGAACTCATCTCTTCTTCCTCCATATATGGGTTAAACAACAGTGTAGAATAAGGTAGAATAGAAACAAAAATTGAATTTGTTGATGAAATTGTATGTACCATTTCTTTTTTATTTTCTTTTTTTAATCCTTATTTTTTTTTTTTGTGCAGGTGGTGCATTTGATACTGGCTCGGAATTGAGAAATCAGAGAAAAGAGTTTGAATTCCAGTGAGACTCATTACATTCACAAATGCACAAATACCCTTCAGAAAGGTATGAATCCATCTCCACCCCCAGGTATGGGTTAAATAGCAGGATTGTATCTGGAAAAATCATTGTTATTCTAAAAGTATTGTTAATTCGTTCTCTAAAAACAAATTATTCTTAAAAGCCCAAATATGTTTCAGCTTTTAATAATCTACAAGTTCATAAGCTATAAAAAAAAAAATCAATCAATCAACAAAGTATATGCTTTCACACCAATGTTCTTGAGAAAGGCATGAAATCATTTCTTTTTCAACCTGCTATGGGTTAAACAGCTGTGGTGAATAGAGAAAAAAATAAGATTTTTTTTGTTGAAACGTTCTGGCAAAGTTTCTTTTTCATTTTTCTGTTTTTTGCCCTTGTCTTTCTTTTCATTTTTATTTTTTCTAATTTTCTTTCTTTTTCATTTTTCTGTTTTTTGCCCTTGTCTTTCTTTTCATTTTTATTTTTTCTAATTTTCTTTCTTTTTCATTTTTCTGTTTTTTGCCCTTGTCTTTCTTTTCATTTTTATTTTTTCTAATTTTCTTTCTTTTTCATTTTTCTGTTTTTTGCCCTTGTCTTTCTTTTCATTTTTATTTTTTCTAATTTTCTTTCTTTTTTATTTTTTCTAATTTTCTTTCTTTTTTCTTTTTCATTTTTTCTGATTTTTATTCTTTCTTTCATTTTTACTTTTCATTTCTTCTATTTTTCTTTCTTTTTCTTTTTCATTTCTTCTATTTTTCTTTCTTTCTTTTTCTTTTTCATTTTTCTAATTTTCTTCCTTTCTTTTACTTTTTCTTTTTTCTATTTTTATTCTTTCCTTCCTTCATTTTCCTTTTTCATTTCTTCTATTTTCTTTCTTTCTTTTTCTTTATCATTTTTTCTATTTCTTTTCTATCTTTCTTTTCTTTTTCATTTTTTCTATTTCTTCTGTTTCTTTCTTTTTTTTTCATTTTTCTATTTCTTACTTTTTTCTTTTACATTTTTTTTTATTTTTTCTTTCTTTCTTTCATCCTCCTTCCCTTTGCATTCCTCTATTAAGAAGAAAGATCTGTTGCTGTCCTGAACAGAATTCCAGGCGACAGCTTTACCAATCACTACAACCTGTTCAAGTCTAGGGTTAATTGTTATTTTTCCCACATATCCACCTAAACTGTGTCTCTTATTCTTACCACTGATTCAACAACCACCTTCAGTAACCATCTACCTTGAGTTGCTCTTAGGTATTGTACATGGTGAATATTAGTAAATTGTCCTGGGTATGATAATAAACTACATCTGGCAGCCAGGCCTCTGATTGGGAGATTGCAGATATGATTGGAGATTGGATGTATACATGGTGTATATTGTCTTGGGTATAACAATAATTTTTAATAATAATTTTTAATAATAATAATTTTAATAATATAATAATTTAAATAATGCTAATAATTTTAATAGTAATTATCCTGGGTATGACAATAAGCTACATGCAGCAGCCAGGCTTCTGATAGGGAGATTGGGGGTTTTGAGGAGCATGGAACCACTTCTTAATTGCTATTGTTCCCAGGTTGACTTTGACCTGGAGTGGTAGCACCAGTTAGGGTCCCAGCTATAAGTAAATAGTGAATACCAAACAAAAGTAAACACTTCATTTTTATAATAAAATGACCAACAATACATTTATGATATGTAAAATGTATATTTAAAAAACATAAATTTACTCTGAAAGTTTATAATTATGTATAAAGTATCTTTAGTTGAAAGCATAAAATTATCTACAAAATATATAGATTTCAGCATTAAATAACCCATAGAGGTTGATATGCCACTAAACAAAATCAGCCAAACCAAACCAAACCAATCAAAGTATTTAGATTTTGGCATTAAATAACCCATAGAGATGTTGATATGCCGTTAAACAAAAACCACCAAACCAAACCAATCAAAATATTTAGATTTTGGCATTAAATAACCCATAGAGGTTGATATGCCGCTAAACAAAAACCACCAAACCAAACCAATCAAAATATTTAGATTTTGGCATTAAATAACCCAAAGAGGTCGATATGCCACTAAAAAAAATCAACGAAACCAAGACAATCAAAATATTTAGATTTCGGCATTAAATAACCCATAGAGGTGTTGATATGCCGCTAAACAAAATCAGCCAAACCAAACCGATCAAAATATTTAGATTTCGGAATTAAATAACCCATAGAGGTGTTGATATGCCACTAAACAAAAACAACCAAACCAAACCAATGAAAATTTTTAGATTTCGGCATTAAATAACCCATAAAGGTTGATATGCCGCTAAACAAAAACCACCAAACCAAAATAATCAAAATATTTAGATTTCAGAATTAAATAACCCATAGAGGTGTTGATATGCCACTAAACAAAAACAACCAAACCAAACCAATCAAAATATTTATATTTCGGCCTTAAATAACCCATAGAGGTTGATATGCCACTAAACAAAATCAACCAAACCAAACCAATCAAAATATTTATATTTCGGCATTAAATAACCCATAGAGGTTGATATTGCCACTAAACAAAATCAACCAAACCAAACCAATGAAAATATTTATATTTCGGCATTAAATAACCCATAGAGGTTGATATGCCACTAAACAAAAAAACAACCAAACCAAACCAATCAAAATATTTATATTTCGGCATTAAATAACCCATAGAGGTTGATATGCCACTAAACAAAATCAACCAAACCAAACCAATCAAAATATTTATATTTCGGCATTAAATAACCCATAGAGGTTGATATTGCCACTAAACAAAATCAACCAAACCAAACCAATGAAAATATTTATATTTCGGCATTAAATAACCCATAGAGGTTGATATGCCACTAAACAAAAACAACCAAACCAAACCAATCAAAATATTTATATTTCGGCATTAAATAACCCATAGAGGTTGATATGCCACTAAACAAAATCAACCAAACCAAACCAATCAAAATATTTATATTTCGGCATTAAATAACCCATAGAGGTTGATATTGCCACTAAACAAAATCAACCAAACCAAACCAATGAAAATATTTATATTTCGGCATTAAATAACCCATAGAGGTTGATATGCCACTAAACAAAAACAACCAAACCAAACCAATCAAAATATTTATATTTCGGCATTAAATAACCCATAGAGGTTGATATTGCCACTAAACAAAAACAACCAAACCAAACCAATCAAAATATTTATATTTCGGCATTAAATAACCCATAAAGGTTGATATGCCGCTAAACAAAAACCACCAAACCAAAATAATCAAAATATTTAGATTTTGGCATTAAATAACCCATAGAGTTTGATATGCGGCTAATCAAAATCAACCAAACCAAACCAATCAAAATATTTATATTTCGGCATTAAATAACCCATAGAGGTTGATATTGCCACTAAACAAAAACAACCAAACCAAACCAATCAAAATATTTATATTTCGGCATTAAATAACCCATAGAGGTTGATATGCCACTAAACAAAATCAACCAAACCAAACCAATCAAAATATTTATATTTCGGCATTAAATAACCCATAGAGGTTGATATGCCACTAAACAAAATCAACCAAACCAAACCAATCAAAATATTTATATTTCGGCATTAAATAACCCATAGAGGTTGATATTGCCACTAAACAAAATCAACCAAACCAAACCAATGAAAATATTTAGATTTTGGCATTAAATAACCCATGGAGGTTGATATGCCACTAAACAAAAACCACCAAACCAAACCAATCAAAATATTTAGATTTTGGAATTAAGTAACCCAATAGTAGTGTTGATATGCTGCTAAACAAAATCAACCAATCCGAACCAATCAACAAACTAAACCAATCAAAATATTTAGATTTCGGTATTAAATCACCCATAGAGGTGCTGATATGCCGCTAAACAAAATCAACCAAACCAAACCAATCAAAATATTTAGATTTCAGAATTAAATAACCCATAGAGGTGTTGATATGCCGCTAAACAAAAACAACAAAACCAAACCAATCAAAATATTTTGATTTCGGTATTAAATAACCCATAGAGGTGTTGATATGCCGCTAAACAAAATCAACCAAACCAAACCAATAAAAATATTTAGATTTTTCTACATGCTCATCCCTAACATATATTTTTAATTATTTCACTTCAAGCAAGGCAATAAAGCCAAAAGATGGAAGGAGTTACTGAGAATGAAAGAATCTGAGAAGCGGATGACAATTGATGTTACATTTATATCATTTGAAGCTTTAGTAACGCTAATATCAAAATATGGCAATATGAAAATATTTGGCATTCACTGACTGAGCAGCAGGTACTGCTTTTGGTTGAAAATTGTAAAATATTTCTCTTAAAAAATTTTCAGGAAAATAGGTTCCTCAAGTTCAATAGCTGTTATTGCTCTTTCCACCACTGATGGGGGCTTTCCTTCCTAACCTTTTATTCAAAGTCATGTGGCATGTCAACATGTTGATGATGTCACTATTTTCTCTTTGCATATAATATTCATTTTAGTTGTTGCTGCTGTTGGTAGTCCTCAAGTAATGTGTTTTTTGGTAATTTCATACAGTTTTTTGTTTTTGATTCGATAACACCAGTCCACAATGTTCAAAGAAGTATGATTTTTGCCAAGACTCTTCACTTACTTACAATCATTTTAACAATTAATCATAGAAAGTGACTGTATACAACTAAGAGTTTAAATATTTTCAAGTGGGTTTAGTACCATGCATGAAATCCATATGCAAGTTTCAATCTCATAGGGATATTTAAGAATGTGACATAAATTTTCCGGTTGCTGTTTTGGTTTTGAAGCAACTTGTGGTGTTTGGCGAAACTATCTCTGGCTCAGCCTATTCAATGTTCTTTACTTCTATACTAAATTTGTTATAACTGGTCTATACACCGAGATATTTGAAATGTTTAGTATTTATGAATTCCACATCCTGAATTTTTATGATAGCTTCTAGTTATATGCCATCATTGCTTTTATTCCAATTTGGATCATAGTTGCTGTTTTGGGAAGGTTCATCTTGAGTCCTGTTTCTTGGAACACCTGGTAGAGGATGTTGATTTTCTGTTCAGGATCATTCTTATCCCAACTATGTATACCTATGTCATCAATCTAGCTTAACAATACATTGACCTCGGAAGTTAAATCAGGATCGTTATCTCATGAGTGAAAATCAGTCTAGGAGAAGTGCAACTCTGAATTGAAAACTGATTGGCTTAGCATTGTGATAAGTGTATTCACGTCAGGAAGTCACCAGTGTGGATATTGTGTTGGCAAGATTTTCTTTACTGGAAACTTTGTGAATAAAACAAACTGGTTGAAGGGTATAAAATAAATAATATATTTTTATTTATTTACTTTTGAGTGATGAGTGAGTCCTTTGATATTCAGTGTCTCAAAAATGCTTGTTCATAAGGTGGATATTGGCAAAGATCCAGTAGTGTAGTTTGAAGTCAGACCATGATAGGGCTAGTAGTAATACTAGAAATAGGTCAGTGTCAATCTACTGTGTTTTTCTCAGCCCTAAGCTGTACAGAAATATCATCAGCAGATGACTTCTTAACTACTTCATGTGTCATGCATGACTGGTTTTTAGTGGTAAAGTTATGGTGTTTTATCCTCTCCATTCTGCTTCTATCCCAAAGGTGTCAGGTTTATGTTTTTTTGAACATTGGTCTCGGATAACACCAAAAGTGTCTTTGTGTTAATTTTTTTGATTGGTCAAAATTATTTTATTTTTGGCATTCCTTTCTTTTTCATTTTTTTTCATAAAGGAAGTTATGCATAGAGCCTCACTGATTTTTGTTATTTTTCAGTCACACATAAGTAGGCTCTGATCCTGCAAACTTCTATCTTTTTTGCCAGGTTCAGTCTTTTCTTCTTCCTCTTTTTATTTGAGGCTTGCCATCTTGTTAGTTGAGAAAAATATGGAAAGAGAAGTTTAGAGAGTGTGTGAGAAAGAAATAAGGGTTTTAAAGGAAAACGCAAATTCTTTATTTTAATTTGAATTCTTTTTATTTTTGTTTATATATTTTATTGTTATTGGGGCAAACCCATGAAAAATTTAATGGTTTTCTTATTTGAACTTTCTGATGAATCTTCTGTGTTTTTCTCAGCCCAAAGCAGAGTATAAATATCATTATCAAATAACCTCTTCACTACTTCTTTACGTGTCACACATAATTTTTTCTGATATATTTTATTTTTATTGGAACTCACTCTAGTATCTGTCTATATTTCTGAGATAAGGTATTATGTACACTATTTACATTATTCAGACTATTGTCCTCATCTTTGTCGCCATATTTATTTAACATGATTCAAGAAGACAGAAGATGGTGATTGACATTGCATTTAAATTTTAGAAGACTAAAGTTATCACGAAAGCATGTAAATGGAAGAGAGCACCACAGGCATGAAATCTAAGAAAAGAAAATGTTGAAGTAGAAGAGGCGGTTGCATTTAACTATTTCAACAGTAAATGGGTGGGACCTAAATGCCAATCTAGTAGCATGCTTAAATTCCTGTAGATGGGGCACCAGGAAAAAAAACTCCTCCTGAAGTTCTCCACTGCCTTAACCAGGTATTGAACTCACACTCTTTGGGTTCTGTCACTGGATCTAACTAATGCCTTTATCCAGTGGAGAAACTTGGAGGAGTTTTTTAACAGGAGATAAGTCTAACTGACAACCATTAAACATGTCACATGGAACTAGAATTTAGTCTACTTTCTATTTTAATGTTTCGAAATTGTTAAATCTTCAGGTGGTTGGAATGTCGAACTTTCCCTATATTAGCTCACTGGGGTAGACTGTTCTAGTTCCATTTGCCATGTTTAATAACTTGTCAGTTAAAATTTAAATGCAATTCAATCACCATCTTCTGTCTTCTTGAATCATGTTAATCTTTTGTCCTTTCCTCAATCTTTCCTTTCCCTTTCACTTATACTCAGTCTTTCCTTTCCCTTTCACTCCCTGTAACACTAGGCATCCCAGCCTTGCTTGGATGAAATGATTAAAAAAAGAAACTTACTTTAATTTCTTTTTTTCATTTCCTTCCTTAAGTTTTCATTATTTTACTTCACATTCATTTATTTTACGTCTTTTTCTTTGGTTGTTATTTAACTTCATTTCCATTTTCTTTTTCATTCTTTTAACTCTTTCTTTTCCATTAACCTTTTTCTTTTTCTTCCTTCTTTTCTTTTTCTATATCATTCCCCCTCCTCTTGCTATTATCTCCTTACAGTTTTTGCATTTGTATCATGATTATGAAGTTTTCATTCTTCCCAATTCTCTTTTCTTTTTCTTTAATTTTTCCTCCATTTCCTACACATTTGTTTATGTTACATTTTCTTATTTGAATGTTTTATTTTCCTTCTATTCTTTTCCATCACCTTTTTCATTCTTTTATTTTATTTTTCATTCTTTGCATGTATTTTTTTACTCATTTAACTTTCATCCATCTCCATCTTGTTCTTCACTCTTTTGAACTTGCCAAAAATATTTTTTTTCCATTAATCTCTTTCTCATTTCTCTTTTGTTTTTCACTTACTCTTCCTCTGAAGTGCTTCTTCTAATTTTACATTTCCTTCATGATCACTAAATTTTCTTGTTTTTCTTCATTTTTACTACTTCTTTAATTTTTCATTCTTTTCTAACTCTTTTAATATACCTTTCATTATTTGAATGTTCTTTATTTTCCTCCTATTCATTTTCTTCACCTTTTTCAATCTTTTATTTAACTTTTCATTCTTGCATGTTTTTTCTTTTTTCATTTACCTTCCATTAATTTCCATTTCGTTTTTCACTCTTTTAACTTGTCAATATTTTTTTCTTTTCCATTAAAACCTTTCTACTTTTCCTTCATTTTTTTTCCTTCTGGTCCTCAATGATCACCTTCCAATTTTACACTTTCTTCATGATTAATAAATTTTCATCCTTCTTGTTTTGCTTCATTTTTTCCTTTTTTTTTCCTTCTCTAATTTTTCATTCTTTTCTTTGTAATTCTTTTATCTTTTGTCATTTGAATGTTCTGTATTTTCCTCATCTTCTTTTCTGTCACCCTTTTCATTCCTTCTTCTGTTTTTCTCTTCCTCCTCATTGTCCGCCTCTTCCCCTCCTTCTTCTCCTGTGTCCTCCTTACAGTTTTGCACTTTCTACATGTTTACTAATTCGATCATTCTCCTCGGATTATTTTTGTTCATATACTTGTCAGAGGCATCAGACTTCTCTTCTTTTCATCCCAAAGATTTAGATGCCTACTGCACTACACATAAAGGGAAAATACGAAATTACAGTGAGCGATTTGAGAAGAATATGACTTAGATACCATTTTTAATATTCAAAATTCATCTTTTTCAACATGCATGAGGCTTTCTTCACCAACACCTTCAAACATCTTTGTAAAATCGCTTGAAAAGGCTTCCAGCAAATTCCACTTATAGACAGAGTATGTATATCCTGAGCATGTCAAAGCGACTTCACTTCAATAACTACATCTCTTTATTATCTTCTGCGCGTTGCTTTTCTTTGTAGAAATATTGGATCCAATTGGAAGCAGAGTATAGGCAATAAGAATGGTGTAATTGTCGTCATTCATCAGTAGCATGTCTGGATCATGATGCTCTTTACATGGTTAAGCCATTTCTGATTTAGGAAAATTGAAAAATAACAGAACTTTGAAGGAATATTCCACAGAAGATTAGAAGAGTGTTTTGCAGGAAAAGAGGATCAGAAGACATATTTATGCATGGATTTATAAAGGGACATTCAAACTAATCTATAGACATTAATGATCAAGGAATAATGAATAAAAATATAGTTCTATCTATCTCTCTATCTATCTATCTCTCTATCTATCTATTGATCTCAGTTTATTCTATCTATCTATCTAAATTTATTCATCTATCTATCTGTCTGTCTCAGTTGATTTTATCTGTCTATATATCTCTATCAGTTCTATCTATCTTAGTATTTTCTATCTACCTCAGTTTATTCTATCTATCTATCTATCTATCTATCTATCTATCTATCTATCTATCTATCTATCTATCTATCTAAATTTATTCTATCTCAATTTATACTATCTCAGTTTATTCTATCTATCTATCTATCTATCTATCTCAGTTTATTCTATCTGTCTATATATCTGTCTGTTCTATCTATCTCAGTCTGTTCTACCTACCTCAGTTTATTCTATCTGTCTGTTCTTTCTATCTATTTACCTATCTTAGTCTATTCTATCTATCTATTTACCTATCTTGGTCTATTCTATCTATCTATTTACCTATCTTGGTCTATTCTATCTATCTATTTACCTATCTTAGTCTATTCTATCTATCTATCTATCTATCTATCTATCTATCTATCTATCTATCTATCTATCTACTCAGATACCTGTCAGTCAAGCAGTGTCTATTCATATCTAATGGAAAAACTGCAAAGTATGAGTTTGATCCCCTGAAGGAAAATAGAATCCAATGATTATTCTGGATTTTATTGTGTTGTTATGATGGGAATAGAAATTTATGAAATCATTTTCATTAGTTGATTTTCAGTAGGCACTAAGTTATAAGATGCTGTTAATGTGGTGGAGCATGATATCTAGGAAATGTAAAGTAGTATTTTCTTCCATTTCGTATGTAAATTCTATTGTCTGTTCAACTTTATTTAGTCTATCTACAAATGCTTGTAAATCAGTATCATGGGGATATATTAATAGAGCATCAACAATATATCAGAAGTATGTTGATTGTTTAGGTAAAATATTTTGGAAAGGACCAGATTCAGAAATTCTAAGAAAATATATGTTAACAGTCCATTAAAGGTCGATCCCATTGATAATCCAAATTTTTTATTATAAAAATTATTATTAAATGTCAAAATAGCATTGATTGGTGATGAGATGGCAGATTTTTATTATTTTAGCTATTGGTAGAGAATGGTTTATCTTAGATTGTGTTAGATGCCTTTTTAAGAGATCTAAGTATTTTTCAACCAGGATTATCAGTCATATTTGTTTCCATTAGTTTTTCAATTAGCTTGGTTGAATTTTTTTTTTATATGTGATGGGCTGATTATTTTCTTTGAGAATCTCATTAAGATATCTTTAATCATTTCTAAGATACAATTGTTCAAACCTTAAACTAAAAAATTGAACAATTTTACTGTTACACGATTTGGACAATTTTACTAATACACTTCGTATATATATATATATATATATATATATATATATATAAAATATATATATATATATATATATATATATATATATATATATATATATATGTATGATAAAATATAGTATTTTCCTCTATGTCATATATCTTTCCGCAATATATACATATTTATATATATATATTTTGAACAATGAAAAATATTAAAAAAATTAAATCTTCAGACACACTGGGTTGTATATTAATATACTTTTGTTTTTATTATTATTTCATTTAGATTCCTTGACTAGTTTCGGCCAACATGGCAATTATCAGGAGAAAAAAAAAATTCTGCTTCTGGTAGCAGTGAACTACAGAAATGAATGTCCTGATGGAGAAAATGAACTTTTGTTTGTAGTTTTCATTTGTTTTTTTATTTTTTTTAATATGAATTTTGGTCAGTTCTTGTGTTTGTCAAACATGGTTGATATATACAGGGTGTCTATAAAGTTCTTGTGCACATTAAAAATTTATAACTTTGTATTTGCGATAGAAATAATCTGTAAAAAATGTTATAAACAAATTTACCTAGTTTTAAGTATAGCTAAAATAACTAATGTGAATAGAGGCATTACTGTAAATCAGTTGATAAATGCTTTTCATGAACTGCAAAACCATATTAACCTTTGTATTGCTAATGATGGAGGATATATATGCTTAAAGAAAATTTCAATAAAACCTTAAAAAATATAGATTGACTTTTTTCTACAAATTATTTCTGTTGCAAATGCAAATAATGTTATAAATATTTTAAAGTGCACATGGACTTTATGGGCACCCTGTACACACATATATATATATATATATATATATATATATATATATATATATATATATATATGAAGAAAATATGAAAAAACAAACAAAAATCATAATATGCGATTATGCTGTTTTAATGTTTAATGTCAATGTCCGGACGTTTGGTCTAATAGACCATCTTCAGGACATATTCATAAAACATAATTAACATAGACCATATACAATTCAACATGAAAAAGACAATGGACATAAATATGTCCTGAAGATGTTCTATTAGACCGAAACGTTAAACGTTGACATTAAACATTAAAACAGCATAATCGCATATTAGGATTTTTTTTTTTTTTCTGTATATTTTTTCATACTGTCGGATCTATATCCATATATTTGCTTACATATATATATATATATATATATATATATATATATATATATATATATATATATATATATATACCCTGACAATCCACGTAGGTGAAACCTAAGTAGGTTTGTCTAGCTCTTTAGGTTTACTTAGTTTACTCTACTTACCATATTGAGCACTTTGCTTAGTTATTTTAATTTTACTCGTATCGAAAGTTTTTTTCTTTGGACTCTGAACTTAGATTCTAGATGATTATTTTCGCCGGAAGTACATGTTCTTAGTTCTTTCTTTTTTTACCCATTTTTTTTTCTCTTGGGTATTGGTTTGTTCATTTACAAGCTAAAAACACCCTAAGGTTTTGCCGGACGAGTATAGCTGCTTATATTTCTAAGATTATTAGTATTATATATATATATATATATATATATATATATATATATATATATATATATATAAAAGAGGGTTTAAAATTTTTGCTATGGCTTTTTGCTAGTTTGTGGCGAGCACTGTCTATTCTTGAAATAATGGGACATATTTGGATGCCTCTTTTCGTGGCGTTTAGGTTAGACCATAAAGTGATATGCTATTAGTCTGTACCATGATTTAGTTTCATTTTTAATTAGTTTCTTAATTGCTTTGTTAAATGTTTGTGTTTAAGTAATTATTTCCTGTTTATATTGTTTTTTCACATGTGTAGTCATCATTAAATAGTGAATTAATATTTTCATCATATGTGTTCTTGTTCATAATAACAATCTCACCTCCCTTTTCCAAGGAGATAACATTGATTTCTTAATTTTTGCTAGGTCCCTTAGTGCCTTTAAGTGTCTTCGTGGTAAAGTTCTTTCATTGTTGATTTCTATAGTGACAGTGATTATTTAATGAATGAAGATTTTGGTGAATTCTGTGTCATTTTGTTTATGATTTTTTACTATTATGTCGACTAGATCTCTTTTACACTATTTAATTTATATACACGGTACAGTGGATAAAAGCATTAGCTTCAGTGTCAGAATCCAAGGAGTGTGAGTTCAATACCCGGTTAAAGCAGTGAAGAACTTTCAGAAGGGAATTAACAGGAAATAACTGATAACTGACATCCATTAAACATGGCATGTTTACCATATCTACGTATATATATATATATATATATATATATATATATATATATATATATATATATATTAACCCTGTAGATTCCTATGTGGCATATAGATCCACAACTTCACTGTGCTAGATATCGCAGGTATGGTTTTCTGTAGAAAGTAGAATTCACTATTTACATTATTCAGGCTATTGACCACATCTTTGTTGCCATATTTATTACAACATTTCGGCTGTTGTATGCACCACCCTTCTTCAGGTGGTTGTAATATCGAACTGGACCCTTTATTTCACTCACTCGGGTAGAATGTTCTAGTTCTACGTGCCATGTTTAATGGATGTCAGTTATCAGTTATCTCTTGTTAATTCCCCTCTCCAAGTTCTCCACTGCCTTAACCGGGTATTAAACTCACACTCTTTGGGTCCTCTCACTGGATCTAACTAACTCCTTTATCCAGTGGAGAACTTGGAGAGGGGAATACAAGATGCTGTAAGCTTGAATGTATGGCTGGTGTAATGGATAATGGCTCTGAATAGTTAATCGGAGAGCCGAGTTCCAATTCATAGTAGGTTTGTTATATTCACTTACAGTGTTGTGCGTTCAATTTCTGGCCTCAGTGAATAGAAGAAAAACCTCGAGATTTATCAAGGCAAATTAACTAAAATGGAGATATCCAAAGGTATGGTATGTGGAATTAGAGCAATATGCTGTGTGTAACAGCAAAATTGTCTAAATCATGTAACAGTAAAATTGTCCAAATCATGTAACAGCAAAATTGTCCAAATCATGTAAAAGTTAAATTGTTTATTTTTTTTAACTGTTGTATTTTGGAAAGACATCTTACTTGAATTCTCTAAAGTTTTTACGATACTACTGGACTGTACTTTGAGCAATAAGAATGAATAATTACATTCCAAGCTTAAGAGAAGAATTTTGAAGAATTGATCATAAATGACATGTTCATTATTAATTAATCATAGCTGAGGACTGGAAGCTCATGAAGGATTGATATAAACTTCAAATATATATATATATATATATATATATATATATATATATAATTCTCCCCAAAGCAAATAATAATGATAGTGAACACACAGCCAAAAATCACATACACATTTATTACAAAAAACAAATGCATATTAATTACAAACAAGATGAATCTTCTCTATAAAGAAATATACTACTCCAACTGATCCGAATAAAAAAATCAAATTTATTATCTATTATAAAAAATTTAAGACAGCTAACCTTATCCTCAAAAATAACAACACACCAGCTAAGTCAAAATTACAAAGAACGAACATTATCTATGAGTTCAAATGCCCCTTAAGGAACTGTGTTCCTGATCAAACCGGACTCATAAATAATTACATCAGTTACACAACCACATGCTTATCCAGACGTCTTACGTTACACCTATCTGATCACAGCTCCATTATAACCCATTTAAACACACACAAAAATTTACCAGACTCCATTAGGAACATACTAGTAGAAAACACAAATATATTAACTGCATCCACCTGCAAAAAAATAATGGAAGCTTTAATAATAAAAAAGAAAAAAAACAACTCTTAACAATATTAACTACAAACAGAGCCACAATGTGCTAAATGTATTCAGAAATTAAAAACATCCCTACCTCACCCTAAGACATACACAGAACGCACACACTCAATTAATGTGAAAAATCGAATCATCCTTGATAATGGCTAAATCTATAGCTGAAAGCGCTCGGAAATATAAAACATTAGCTGTGCTAACATAGAGCAAGTCATCGTGGCCGAGGGTTTGAGCGTGCTGGCTTTGTTGAAATTGTTGATCATGCTAGATAATGCACTCTCTCTCAGAAACTGTAACTATGGTCTGCTCAGCATAGTTGCAGTATAAACCACATGTGGGCTCTGTCGGTGTTGAACAAACACAAACGACCGTCTGCAATAGAGATTGGCTA